CCCGCCGGCCCGTCCGCCCCGCCGGGGAGGGAGCGCTTCGGGCGCTGCCCCGTGAAAAGCCCGTTCGCGTCCCTGCCCCGAGGGGTCCGTCCGCTCCGCCGCCAGGGGCAGCCGGGGCCGATGCTCCGGGTCCCCGAACGGGTCGGGGGACCACCGCCTCCTCCTGCCCCCCAGGATCGTGCTCTTCCCCGGGCTGCGGGGCGCCGGGGGACACCGGGGTGGGGGAGGCCGGTGAGCCCCGAGCACCCTCGAAGGGGCGGACGCGGGAGCGGAGCCGCCCCGGCGGCGGGGACACGGCTCCGCAACCCCGGCGGTCCCGGTGTCCCGGTGTCCCGGGCGGTGTGCCCGGGGCGGGTGGCGCCATCTGCTGCCCGCGGTCGGAGGCGCAGCCAGACGGTGCGTGTCCAGCTCCCGCGGCGGCCCCGCGCCGTGCCCGGGGGGGGGACCGGGCAGCGCACCCCCCCGCGGGACACCCCAAAAGCCGCGCTCCGGGGCACAGCGGGCTCGTCCCGCACAAATCGCCCCCCAGCGCAGCGCAGGCCCCCCAGCCCGGAGGAGCCCCCCGTGAACCGACCCCGCAGCTGAACCCGGGCAGGAGGCCGAGACACGGGAGAACCAGCGAGGCCGGAGGGAGGCGGCAGCTCGGGGCTGTCTCCGAGGCATGGGGAGGCAGAGGGCGAGGGGGGTCCCTGCGGACGGTGGTGCCTGGAGCCCCCACCCTGTCCCCGGCGGGAGCAGGCACCACGGCAGAGGCCTGTTCGTGCGTCCCCGTGCAGAGCTCGGCGCGTGGGGGTCCGGGCAGCGCGTGGGGGTCCGGGCAGCGCGTGGGGGCTGTCCAGGGGCGAGCGGCCCAGCGGGGAGCAGCACGTCGATGCTCCATCCGGGGCTGTTTCCCCCCGACACACAAAAAGCACAAGCAGCGCTTTGTGCTGCAGCCCGAGAGCCGGGTCAGGCAGGACCCATAATCCTCATCAAGGAAATTAAGCCACGCGTTGATTTTTCCCCAGGATGGCACCCGGCAGCACGAGGCCGCTGTGAAAGCCTTGCATAACCCACTTACGTGCCGTGGAGCCACGCTGCCCGGCCGGCCCCGCGGCCAGAGACACGCCAAGGCAGCAGAAATGCTGTCAAGAGGGACGGGGCCACCACAGCTCCAGGCTGCTGGCCCCGCTGCCAGACCTGCTGGCCACCACACAGCAGCCAGTGGCTCCGTGGGCACAGCCCTGCAATCAGAGCCACACTCCCTAATTACCACTTCCCAGGCAGGGAGAAGTGTTTGGCCACAGGGCGAGGCTGCCCCAGGGCAGCTCCTCCAGCCCCGGCTCCCTCTAAGGGGCTCAGAAGCCACTGGCCTCGGGGGTGGCAGCAGGAAAAGGACCCCCCACCACATCCTCCATCCTGTCCCCAGGGACCCAGCTGGGCACAAAGGCAGCAAAGGGCTCCCCCCAACAAGGAAGAGCAGGGAGAGAGAAAAATAACCACATAGAGAAGCCTGAGACAGACAAAGAGTGAGTCCTGCAGGGGCTCCCCAAGGCTGGGGCTGAGCTGAGACCCCGTGGAACTGTGCAGCAGGACAAGGTGACACCTCCCTCAAACAGACAAGTGTCCCACAGTGCCCACCCTCCCCGGGCTCTGCAGAGCCGGGAGCAGCCGCTCGTGCCCCTTCGCAGCCTGGAACAGCTCCCGATGCAAATCCTGGGTGATTAGAGCCCAGGCGGAGCTGGCAGCGGGCTGAGAGAGGAGACACAGCGCCGTGTCCTGCAGCCAGGAGTGAGTCAGCAGGTCAGGAACCCCGGGGGGCAGCAGCAGGAGAGACCAGAGTCCAACAAAGGTGGGGAAAAGAAAAAAAAAAAAAGAGAGAGGAATCATCTTTATTTGTGAAGTGTGTTAACAGAGTTCACGCTACCCAGCGACACAGGCGTTAGACTCCACTGAGCGTGTGTCCGCTCTCGGGCTCCTGTCACACGGACACCACCACGGCTCGAGCACAAGAACCCCCTGTCAAACCCCCCCAGCCCCCTGCCCACCGCAGACTCCAGGAGACACCAACAACCTGGGCCATGAGTCCACAGCAGTGATTTATCCCGTGTCCAGCTCCGGCTCACAATTGTGTGCTGAAGAGTAACCAGACCCAGCTCAGGAGGATCCCGCCGGGAAGGGCTCGGGGTGCGGGTGGTGGGGCCCTCGCCAGAGAACGAGCGGCACCAGCCGATGTGCCTGGTGGCCCCGGAGTGGCCACAGGAGACACACTGCTTCCACGGCAGGGAAAGGCGCAGCCGGCTCCAGGTGAGGGATGGAAGGGACAGAACCACCCTCCTAAAGCCTTCGGGTCATCTCCAGATGTCACCAGAGCAGTGTCTCCCTGACCCTAACCCCAGACACCAGACCTGCTGGGGACACAGGCCATGGCAGCCACATCCCATGGGGCAGCACACGAGGAACTGCAGGTTCAGGTTCTCCACAGGACCCTGAGTGGCCACGAACAGCGATGGCATCTCCCAACAGCCTGACCCAACACACCCTGCTCTTCCCCAAGGCGAGGGAGAAATAAGCTCTACTCCCACCCACCCCCCTTTGCATCACCACAAAGAAACCCAGGACAGAGACAGCCAGTGACCTAGACTACCAGAAATAAGGGATTTACATTTACAGGTAGAAAAACCCTCCCACAACTCTTAAAAAAAAAAAGTATTTTAAAATCTACAACTTAAGTTTCTTTAGAAAGTGAAGTAACTGAATTGCAAGGACACACTAGAGTATCTCATGATGCTATTTTACCAAAAAAAAAAAAAAAAAAAGAAAAAAAAAAAAAAGAAAAAAAAAAAAAAGAAAAAAAAAAAAAAGAAAAAAAAAAAAAAGAAAAAAAAAAAAAAGAAAAAAAAAAAAAAGAAAAAAAAAAAAAAGAAAAAAAAAAAAAAGAAAAAAAAAAAAAAGAAAAAAAAAAAAAAGAAAAAAAAAAAAAAGAAAAAAAAAAAAAAGAAAAAAAAAAAAAAGAAAAAAAAAAAAAAGAAAAAAAAAAAAAAGAAAAAAAAAAAAAAGAAAAAAAAAAAAAAGAAAAAAAAAAAAAAGGAAAACAAAATTGTCCAGACAAGTTCTTCATCTTCGCATCACCTGCCAGGAGAGAAAGAAAAGCCAGTCAGATAACCCAGTTGTACCAGTAGGGCTGTGCTGCGCTGGAGGGGTCAACAGAGAGCCCAGGCCAAAGGCTGCTCTTTGAGGCAGGAAGGTCTGGGCTGGGACTCATCCCCTGCTCCAGCCCAGGAGTTACTGGGCCATCCCAACCTCCCTGTGTCTCAGGGCCCCACACAGAGTCCAACACTCTCCCTCCTTTCCCTGGGCAGAGCTGGACACGCCACGGCTCCCCACAGAGTCCCAGCCCCTCTAATGGTCTGTGCCTGAATTCACCACGACACTGTCCCCCCACATCCTGCAGCACAAGGTTGGGCCAAAGAGCTTCTGCCCGCACAGAAGCTCCTGCTTCTTCCAGAGACCCTTTGCAGGTGCAGACTCTGCAGCTGGGCCAGACCCCAGGTTCCAGTGGGAGACAGGCAGCTCGTGCTGGGGGTGAGGAGCCTGGCACAGCGGCTGCTCCCGGCAGCGGCACTCACCTGGCCCCTGCTCTTAGTTCGCGTTCCTCTGGCGGACGTTCTTGTCCTTGTGGTTTGTGGCATTGCTTTTCCTGGAAGGAGAAGAGGGGCAGTGAGGAAAGATGCCGCACAAAGCCCCACCCACTAATGCAATCGGGGTCCAAACAGCTGGTGAAGATGAGGCCAGGGGAGAGCAGTCACCGGGACAGTGTCACCCAGACACGGTGCCGTCCCCGGCTGTGTGTGGTTTATAACAGACCACGTTAAAGGAACTGTGGGGGGAAAGTCTCCCGCCCAGCGAGACACTGTGCTACTCCCACACCAGCCAGCTTTTATATTCAGAGCAGATTCCCTGCGTGGATGTGATCTGCCAGTACAAATCTGGCTAAATAGGATAAAACAAGGTACTTACAGTGGTGCCGAACCTCCATCATCATCTTCACATTCAGGACAGCACAGAAAGAAAGAAAGAACAGTGTCAGGGAACAGCATGTATGAAGTAATATCTGCTACCTCTTAAAACTCTGGGGCCTGCATTCCAGGCAGGTTACTGGACACACTGGACACCACCGTCTGCACAGGACTGAACCCTAAAGGTCACCTCTCCCACAGGCTCCTGTTTCTGGAGAGCAGGGGCTACTTCTGACCACAACACCACCACTCCCCCCCCCCTCCCCACAAGTTTTAATCTGCTTCTTGTCTAAGCTTAGAGAAGGCACAAACTTAGACATAAGCTCCTGTTACGCAGTTGCTCCCGCTGGCAGAGGGCAGGCCTGGCTGACAGGATAACCCCCCCTGCCCCCCCGCCACAGCAGAGGTCAGGGCTGGCACCTCATTAACCCTCGGGCGCCCCGGAGACTGCCCTGGGAGCCCCCAGGGGCAGAATTACACCAGGAAGCATCCGGGCAGTCTCCAAAGCACCATTTGCTGACTGTAATGTCTGTTCAGGACTTGCCCCCTGTGAATCCTGCACGTACCAGGGGGGCTTCCCACCACCAGCCCCGAAAACCAGAGGAGAGAGCCACGGACCCGCCTGGGGAAACGGCAGAGCTGCCACCATCCACCACCCCCACTGCACCCCAATTCGGATGGCTCCCAGGTCTGAGCAACAGCGAGTACAGGGGCATCCAAACGGGACCTCAGGAAGGAGGATTTCAGCAGCAGCACGGCCTCCTTCCTCCCCACACTTGTCAAATCAAAATAACCACACTGCACACCACATTCCTGCTACACTGAGAAGCACAGCTACAAACAGCTCTGCCAACACGTGCCAAGTCCTGGGGCCTTTCACCAGCTCCTTGCAATCTGCCCCCTTCCAACAGAAGGCTCCCCATCATCTCCTCCACAGCCCGGGCTCCCTCACACAGCACCGAAGCTCTCACCCTAAGTTCAGGGGCTGCCCCAAGATCTGCAGGGGGCTGGTGAGAGGACGGACACAGAAACATGGCTGGAACTACCTTCTACTTACCGTGAAAGGTGGCACCCAGCAGCAGAGAAGGGAAGAGTGGAAAGATAACACCAGCAAGGATATCACACCATACCCCAGCCAGACTCTCCCCACACACCACTGCCTCCCCACCTGCTGTCCCCAGCAGAGGGGCCTGACCCAGCCAGCAGGAAGGACACCAAACATTTACACTTCATTGTTCTCTGGATCAGATAAGGCTGGGGTGAGGGCTAACACAATGCAGATTCTTACTGATAAGGAAAGGGAGGAGCTGGTATTTCCAGAACAGATTAAAGATAGCACTGGGATTTGAGGAAGTCTTGGAGAATCAGGATGTGTGGATCTGAGGACCCAAAACAAATCCATGAACTGAACCTGGAAAAAGCTAAGCCTGGTCTTATGGAGCCACTGACAGAGTCCCCTGATTTTGCAGCACCAGAAAAGCTGTACTATTTATTCAGAAATCAGCTTCTCCAGAGTGCTAGCTGCCAAAGAAAACCCCCAGCCCTGCAGACACTCATCTGAAGCACTTAAGTGCAGAGGAACTGGTGAGACCAAGGGTCAGGCTGACCTGCACCAAATCTTATCTCACCCAGCTCCAAAGCACAGCTTGCTGAAGGACCATCAGAAATGGTGCAATTACTTGCAACTTCACAGCTAAAGCAGCCAGGCAGAGACTACCATGGTTTTACAAAAAGCACCCTGAGAAGCAGCCCTCAAAGGAATGCCGATCTGACAGACAAAAGATTTGGCCTGGACCCTTCTTGGTCTCCCCAGAAATATCTAACCCCCTCTTACCATCAAGAACCTCATCTGGCTTCCTCCTCTTCTCATAGATGAAGATGATGGTGACAAGAACGAGGACTTCTGCCACAATACCCAGGAAGGGCCAGAGTGCTGCCAGGCGGCTGCGTACGCGCAGGTTTATCACAGCCCCACCGACGCCGTAGTCGTTGGTGGCGTTGCAGTGGTAGTCACCCATGTCCTCCTCAATGCTCAGTTTCAGGATGCGTAACTCTGTCTTGTTGCCACTGGACTTGATGATGTATCGACCAGAACCATTGACGATGGGCTGGAGACAGACAGACAGCTCTCAGGACAGTGCCGATGCGAGGGGAGCTGCTCACTCAGCATGCATGGTCCCACCACAACAGAGATCCTCCTCGCCCAAACACCGAGGAGGTTACACTGAAATAGCTAATTCTGATGGGACCGGGTCCTCCAGCTCTCTGCAGGGCAGTGGGGTAGGCAGGAGGGGAGAAAGAGCAAACCACAGCATTTACCTCTTGACCATTTTTGTACCAGATCCAAGTCTTGACAGGGGGGAAAGAGGAACACTTGCAGGTCAGCACACCAGTGTCCCCCTCATTCCCATGCTCGGACTTCTTGTAGGCCACCACCTGGGGTGCAACTACAGCAAGAGAGAAAGAAAAATCAGACCCCTCATTATAGCAACCACTTGTACTCCCTGCAGGCTACCTACCCAGAATCCAAGCTACCCATAAAGCCTGACTTCAGTTTAAGAAATCGTCAGTGGGTCTATTCCCCTCACGTGCCTGTTGTTTGGCATTTTCCAAGAGGAAAGAACATCAAGCTGCTTCAAGAAAGGCTCAAACAGATTTGTCTACCAGGTATTATCCCTCTCCCATTACTCATGTGAACACAACCACAGCAGAAGCTGATTTAATGCAGGGTCTGAGAGCTGACCCTACAGACACTGCAGCTGCTTGATAAAATGCAGCTGTCCCACTGGCAGTCCAAGTACGTGCCTAGTGTCCTGCAGCCTAATTAACAAGGGCTGGAAGCAGCTTTGCAAGTGCTGGAAAGATATCAAAGTGCTCAGGAGATCACAGCTTCCCCGTACGAGGTCTTCCTCCTCAGACCCAGAAGCAAACAAGTAGGGTAGAGTAAAACCCTTGTAGAGTCTGGTTGATGGTTGGACTCGATCCCAAGGGTCTTTTCCAACCTAAACGATTCTATGATATGAATTTACCTGAAATATTCACTTGTCCTTTTATCTCTGGGCTTGTTTTGTAGACACACTCATAGATGCCGGAGTGCTCCTCCATCTTCCCCTCAATTCTACCAAAAACCAGGACAACAAATCAGCATTAAACATAACGGACTTATCCACAGACCCCAAACTCCAGACCCACAGAACAGCCATCTATAAGTGTCAGTGATCTCCTCCACAGGCGATTTCTCCCTTTCCAGTGCCAGTGTTGACGCTGCACCATGTCCCTACAGCAACCCAACTCCCCACACACTGAGGATTTCATGGACACCAGCCCGGACACAGCTCTGTCAGTCAGTGATCACTGAGACCCCCTGATCTTGTGTCCTGAATCCTGAAAAAACAGTGGCTTGAAGTACTTGCAGTACTCTTGCCATCAAGGCCTCCACAAAAGGAAAAGAATTGAGACCTAGACTGTTAGCTAGTAGAGATGAAGTGAACCAGGAGCTCCAGGGCAACACTACACCATCACCAGGTGCGGTGCCATATGTATGCTCCAGAAGTGGCCAACTCCAGCTCTTCCCTCTTCCACAGACCTCAGGCTCATTAAAAAAAAATAAATCACACCCTACTGAGCAAAGCCAACAGAATCTGAAGTGCAACAGGACAGCCCTCTAGTTAGCACAACCCAGGGCATGGCCACACACACCATGTAAGTCCTCAGCCCCTCAGATCACCCCTAAAGGAGACAGGCAAGGAGCAGAGGACAGCAGATTCCAGGGAAGGCTGTTCTTCCCGTGCAGGAAAGCCCACTGAAAGACATGGCAAAGAAACACCAGCCTGGGCTACTCTGGATTGGTCCAAGTGCAGGGAGACATCTCCCATTTTCCTTTCAGTAAAGCTGCTGCAATGAGATTTAGTGGATTATGCTGTACCATAACAAACATCTCGTTCTGTGGCTGGTAATACCCACTGGAGGGAAGGAGCCGGCAAAGTTTTGGTCCCGTGGCTGTGCTGGGACAAGGGGCTGTTTGTTAGTTCTGCTGTGCATGGCGCTTCCCACTTCCAAAAACCACTCAGCTGAGGAATTGAGGTCACGCGAGGGAGGCTGGGTTATAAATACTTTAATCCTTGTTCAGCTCCCTGTTGCTATGGGGAGACAGGCACGTCGGCACCGCCATACAAAAGGACATGATGCCTCTACAGCTGCTGGGTCAGTGCCAGCCCAGCCTGACCGTAATCGGAAAGGAAAGCTCACTGCACTGGTACAATAAGGCCGGTATTCCCAATCCTGCTCAGCTACACCCTGCAAACAGCTTCTGAGCATCAACCGTAACTCGCAGGCAGCTCCCCAGCCTGGTCAGTAAGAACGACTGGACTTTGGACAGGTACATAGACCCCAAGGGCAACAGACCCTGGAGTCTCCCACTTCACACGAGGCCCCTGGGAGCAGGGTCCCTGGCAGCTCAGGGAGAACAGCCCTAGCAGGTCGGTGTGGGTGCAGGCACGGGCCGGGCAGCAGCCCCAGCCACGTTCCCCCAGCCCCTGACAGCCCAGCCGAACGCCTGCGCACACACCAACCAGCAGAGCTTCTCTTCATAGAAGGGTATTTGTAGCACATAACTTTCCCTTCCTCCTCCTTTTTGCCCCTTCTTCCCTGTAAAGGAGAAAGCCTTGGGCCCTGTCAAAACTTTGTTTAGCTCATCTTATGTTCTGAAGTTTAAAAGCCTATGTTCTCAGCAAGACTGCACGCACTTCACTTTGGGTTCAGCCCACGGGAAACAATAACTGCCTCTGGTAAAAACCCATCCCCCGTGTTCAGATTCTTATCTGTCCTTGCCCCTGACACTCACGTGTGACTGGTGAAAGGACTTGAGTCCTTGTCGGTTCGAAGTATCTTGTCCCCGTGCATCCATTCGTGGCCCTCGATGCCAAGGGAAGGCGTTGTCATGTTACAGGAAAGGACCAGATTGCCAGAATCGATGGTTACTTGAGCTTTGATGTCTGGACCTGCATTGGTAAATAATTCAAGTTAAGTTAACATGTGGTATTCCAGAGGTCACATGCCTGCCCAAGAACCTTTAATGCAAACCCCACCACTCCTTGTCTCTATCACAGCTTGCACTTACCTTTGCCAACAATTTCCTACCAAAACTAACACCACGAGCACAGGAGAGACTCGAAAGCCAAGCGACCAGGGCTGACTGCACCTAGAGATAACCGATGCTGACCACCAGCAAGATTGCCGCTGGCTGCTCTGGGTGGCTTTGAGTCCCTGCTGTCCCTACGATGGCTGCAGCTCCAGCAGAGCCAAGTGCTCAATAAGCAATGGAAAAGGTCATACTGTGAAGGGCAGAGCATGGCTCTGCTTTTATGAGCCTCTGGAGCACTCACCGCGTCAACACCGCCCAGAATCTGAGCAGCTTTAGACACCTCCAGGTACCGTAACTGATGGCAGCCGAGCCCCGCAGCTGTGAGGGGCAGCAAACAAGCCCATACGTGAGCAATATGTGCATCGGCTGATGCAGCCCAAAAGATTATATAGATTTACTCCATGGAGAACACAGAACCATGACTCCGAAAGGTGCTGGCCTCCATGTGCCAAGCAGCAGTAAATTATGCAGCAGAAGATGACTCAGGTGTTTGTACTTGCAGGAGCAGACCAAGGAAACAGCTGCCATCAGCAGCGCCATGGCACAGCCCTGTGGCACAACGGTCCCTACCCTTCCTCCCAGCCTCAATCTCCTGGAAAGAACAGTTTTTGCCCAGGGCTGAGAGGCATTTTGCTTTTCCTCCTACCCAAATTCCACTGGAAGAAGGTTCTGCTGGAGTTCTGTATACCCTGGATACCTCAGGATTCCTGGAAAGCCCTCAGCAGGGTGTTAAATCCCCTCACACTGGCCCCAGTTTCCACCCCTCAAAGCAGCCGCCCGTTAGCTCCAGAGCTCGACCCCAGCTCCGTCAGCGGAGGAACCTGCCACTTCCACAGGACAAGCAGCTACATCACACTCAGTGTCACACACAGACACGGCCACCTCAAAAACGGTTGCATCTCAGGAAACTCAAAGCAGGTTTGTTCCCCACAGCTTGTATCACTACGGCAGGAAAGCGAGCTCAGAGCAAGGCTGTCGGCAGGAGCAGGAGCTGCACGAGCTGCAGGGAAGGGCCAGTTTGTCAGTGGTGGTGAGGGCAGAGCCTACCGCAGAATCAAGACTCAATTCTGCAAGCCAGCACTGGGACTCAGAGGCACTCGGGAATAAGCGGCACGTTCCAGGTCTTTGGCTCCGGGAAAGGCACGGGATTGCCGAGGGGCGCTTTGGATGGGAAGCCACAACCCTTTTTGAGCAGGGCCATTTTGGGTCAAGTCACGGGTGGTGGGGGAGATGACAGAGGGTGGGAGTCTCTTGGTTCTACAGCCGGGGTGGGAGGGTGAGGGGAGCTTTTGGGAGCCACAGGACACGGGTGCAGGGGTGAACATGGCAGGAGACTCAAGACACCGGTGTCCGAGCAAGTGCCAAGGCCTCAGTGTGGCCACTCACGTTCGATGACAAAAACGTTCGCCTGGGAACGGATCCACTTGACTTTGGGGCTCTTCGACAAGTGGTTGCGGTCGGGGTCGTTGCTGGCCCGGCACTCATACATGCCCGAGTCGTCGCTTGTGAGGTTTGCGATGTAGATGGTACTGGTAGAGTGCAGGTTGTAGGTGGCGTTGATTTTGACACGGTCCTGCCGTGCACCATCCCAGAGCTGAGCATAGGTCTCATTTGGCTCGTTTCCCTCAAACCACCACTGGATCTCAGGGATAGGATTGCCAATTGCCTCGCAGTACAACTCCACGCTGTCCTGAGTCAGTCTCTTTTGAGACAGCGGTGACTTTATAAAACCAGCTATGAGTTGAAGAGGTATTAGTGCAAAGTGTTAGTGCAAAGCAAGAATTCACCCTCTATAAGCAAAAACAATTCAGCCACCGAGAAGAGGCCACACACAATCCTCAGACCAGTGCACTCTTCCCTCCCTCCCCTCCTCACTCTCTGAACTCTGCCCGGCTCAGACAGGGCTGTTATTTCAAATTGTTGCTTCTCCAGCCAACAAAGCTTCCTGCGACCCTGCTGCAAAACCAGAACACGCAAACCAGCCCGTGGTGTTTGCCACTGCCCAAACAAGCAGCCCACAGCAGGCACGGCATGGTGCTACAGCGTGATGCTCATCGGGCAGACCAAGAGCCTGCGACGCTTCTCCCAACCCTCGCTCCATCTCCGAGCTCCTTCCATTCAGGATAAAGTCCCCACAGGAATTTAGCATCCCCTGTGCTCCACAGGTCTGCCACAGCCCCATGGCACCAGCACAGCCCCGTGGGTGTCCCACTGCTGAGGGGCAGTGCCCAGAGCACAGACTGAGCCTGGCCTTAGTCAGCTTTGTCAGGAGAGAAGTGCTTCACTGCGCCCCTCTCACCCCGGGGAAGGTGTCCCTTCCTCCCCTCCGCACACCCCCCAGATCAGTTGGCCATAACTGGGAGCTGGCTGGGTCCCGGCCACCCCCGGTCACTGTGTGGGGACCAGAGGCCACCGTGCCCTGCCACACGTGCCAGGCCCCCCACGGCGCTGCGAGGGCTGCTCCTGCCCCACGCTCAACACGCTCGTTTCATCCCTCTGCTCACCCAGGTGTCCAGCAGATACTTTTAAACACAATACTAAGAGAAAAGCTTTTTGCGGGGAGGAACGCCTTGCAGTCTGCAAGATGTCACAAGCCAGGTGAGGAAATGTCTAACATTTGCTGTCACACAAACAGTGAAATCACTCTTCATCTCAGGCAAGATAACTGTGCGGAACCAAATTAGTAATAAAGAGATGAAAAGCAAGAGAGGCCGCTGCAGGCTATAACTGCGTATTTTTCAAACTGCTCTTGCGGTGAGAGGCCAGCAGGTTCAGTTTTCGAAAACACAGTCCAAAGGTAGATCCGTGAGCCACCGGAACTCTGGAAAGCTGCGCTGCCAAACATCCTTCGGCCACCGGCCAGGCTGAGCGCAGCCACCGTGACCAGCGGTCGGTCCCCCCGCAGCCGCCCGAGCCCCCGGGGAGCCGCTCCTGCAGGGGCAGGAAGGGAGGCTGGAGCAGCAGCGCTTCAGGAAAAGACATCATCCATGGGTCAAGGTTACTTACGTGACTCAGCCTCAGTCAGATTTAAGCAGAACTACTTGAGCTTGCGACACGTCCTTCCTGCAGCCTGACTGTACCCCAGATGTTCTCACAGGGGCTGGCGGGGCACCCCACGCTGCTTCCAGGAAACCCCACTAATTGGTTATCAAGCACTTAATGATTATATCCAACCCTCCATACACGTACCATGACCTACAGGCACAAAGGAGGTGTGTTTGGGAACACATTTTTCTTTTTTTCTTTTTAAATGCCTGAGGATGTTTCAGTAAGAAATCCTATGACCATTTTTTGCGTGTGTGTGAGTGTAGAAATAAATTACAAAACCAAGTTTGCCCAGATATAAGAAAAACACAAGTCAGTCTGCAAGGTAAGTTTCAGAGGCCTAAATAAATCAATTTCACTTTTCTCTAAGGAAAAATTAGTTTTAGATACTAACGCTTTACAAGTCTGGAAGAATAAACATGTCTGGCCAAGGAAGGAGAGATCTGACCCCACCTGAGATAAGACACTCTCAGGAGAGGGCTGATACTGAGAACTGTGAGTAGCTCGGGGGCTAAACCCCCCCCCCATTTCACACACCCACCCCAGCACTGCTGCCTGCTCCATTCAACAACACTCCTGCAAAGGCTTCAAGGATTCCAAGTGACTGTGGGTGACAGAATTGTACCAGAGACACCAGAATGATCTTCCCGAACTGACTTTAAACTGGGGGGAGAAGATGGGGGTCCCAAAAGACATTTTGGGACCCAGCCCCAGAGTAAGCAGCTTTCTCATACACCCAGTTCTACTTCTAGAGCAACTGACCTGTGTGCCAAATGGGATTTTTTTACACCACAGGCCTGTGATTAAACACTCCCAACCACCTAATTTTGAAGTCACAGAACCGACTACAGCACTTGTAGAAGCTTGTCCCATTTAACTACGGCCTGATTTAAAGTGGGAGCTAGTAAAAGATCGTAAAGATCAAGGGTTGGTTTGTTTTTTACAGATACAAGGTGATTATTGTACACTGACAAAATAAGCTGTTACAAGGTTATTTGCTCTGAGTTAGAGGGCACTTTGTGCAGTTCAGACAGGTTAAAAAGCTTCAGCAAGTAGTAACAACAGCAAGTACCATTTGCATTCATGGGATTAATATCCCCTCCCAACACAAAGCAGACTCGGGCAGTCACAACCCCGGGCACTCAGGGCTGGGGAAAGAGCCCGTGAGTCCAGGGAGGTACGAGCAGAGCCGGCATCGACCCACTGGAATCCATCAGAGCAACTCAAACAGTTTCCAAATGGTGACGGGCTGCAAGTCAAAACCAGCTCATAAAAACAAGACATTCCTCACAGAAGTGAGCCAGACGCTCCCTGCGGGCGCAGGGTGCTATCTGATCAAGCTGGACAGTGGTGAAGGCAGAGGAGACCAGATAACTGTCCTCTTGAGTCACCTTCAAACTAAAAACAACCTCTCCCTGAGCAGAGGGAGGGGGAGTCCCCGTGGGGCAAACAGCGTCTGCCCAGGGTGGCCGGACCCCGCACCGTCCCACGGGGTACACCCCCCTCCCCAGCACGACCTTTGCTGCTTGGCCTTGCGAGGGGATATCTGAGGCGCTGACACTTTCTGCCATTGCCACTAATAGCTATAAGAATCTACTCCCCCCTTAAGTTTCATGTAACCAGGCAGTCATGACACAGCCAGGTCAAAGGCTTTCAGTCAGGACACCCCCTCACGAGGGCACGGAGCCCAAACACACCCCAACCCACCCTTCAGCCCCTTGGTCTGTGTGGGGAGCCACCAAAGCTGGGACACCGCAGTTCGGAAGGACCACCTCTCATGGAGGCTGCTCCATAAAACAAATCTAAACACTGGTGAGAGGTAAAACCCCTCCAGCTCCCCACCCTGCTCTAGGAATCAGTCCCGTTACACACCGAGCCCCAGTGCCCCGCAGCCAGGCAGGACACGCATGTTACACAAACGAGGGGCCTGGGGAGCAGCTCTTCCTCCTGAGGGTTCTCAGGCTGAGAGCAGAAACAGCCTTCTCCACATCTCCTGCCAATGAACCCCGTGGCCAGGGGCCTGCTCAGCGTGGCAGAGGAGCGGGCAGCAGCCAACACCTTCAGCTTAGACTGAGACACTCACATTCCACCTGAAGTGTGAAGTTCAGCAGGCAGCTCTCCCCAGCCCTCCTGCTCCGCAGTATGAAAATACAGTTCTGCTGCAAGGAAACACTGGAGCAGACAGTTCTGTCCCTTTCTCTGGATTTTTCAGAATCCTTCCTCTCTTTTCCTTCAGTTTTTGGGTTTGGCTCTACTGCACTGAAGTAAAGTCTGGCACCACAAACAGGCTACACTTTTTTAGCATCTGATATGCTAAACAGCCAGAAACAGGAATCGACTGCTCTTGGTAAACCCAGGCCTTTACCACCAGCACCTCCCGCACCAGGGCTGAATCAGGGACTGCAGAGTCCTCCGGGCCAAAACCCACCGTGTTTGCCCGGGCAGCCCAATCACCCGCGGCTAAGAACACACCAAGGGGCCAGGCTTCTCGATTGCTACCCCAATAAGTGAGAAAATTAAAAGTTAAAGCAACCACATATGGCAAGTCCCACCTGGTTTGTGCTTTTAAGTACAGGCTATGGCCATTCCCAGCCCCGCATCCAGCTTCCACTCCAGCAATGGCCAGAGCCCAAGAGCAGGCACTGCTTCCTCATTAGAGGATTAACAACTTAAGCATCATGTGAATATCTTTAAGGTTTTAAAGCCCAGAGATCCGTTACTCCCCGGAACGAACACCAGCCCGTCGCGCCGAGGGGCCAGCGGACCGTCCGCCGGAGCCCGGGGACCGCCCCTCCAGGTGCCGCTCGACCTCGGGCGGTCGGTCCGGCAGCCCCCCGGCGCCAATACCGAGCCCAGCGTGGCCGCTGCCCCGTCCCGGCTCCGTGCCCCGCGGGTGCGAGGCCCCCCCCGCCCTGGGAACGCCCAGCCCCGCCCGCACAGCGACGTGCCACGCCGCAGGGCACCCGCTGCGCCGCTCCGAGCCCGCGGCCCCCAACCGAGAGCCCCCCCCGCCGCACACCGGGGCCCAGCT